ATCTTAAATAACATTTCAAACAGAAATGTTTGTCTATTAGTGTAACCAGTTTCTTGGCTCTGTTCAGAAGTAAATGATAATTAATAATGCCCAGTTTGCTCTGTCCTAAAATATAAATTCCTGCTAATGATAGATTGTTTATGTGTTTTTTATTATTAAATCACGATAATTTTACTTGAATTTACATGAAATTAATGTTGCATGTGATTTGTCTTTCATAACCTTCTAAACTAAACCTTATATGAAATCCCCTAACCTCATACAGACACCATCAAATGAGGAACTGGTAGGTAATAGTAATCTTGACAAAGACCAACAGAAAAACTGTAGCTTACATGTCAGTTTTGCCAGAGTACAAACATTACCCCACAATGTTTGCATCTACTACTTTAAGTAATGATTGTACTATATTCAAATAGACAAGTCTTATTTAGCTTTAGTATATGGCTTTTTCCAATGGTATTCAGAGGTTCAGATTAATAAGTAAAAATTGATCTACAAATTTAAAAATGATATAAAAACAGTATCTTGTACATTTGTTCTGACAGGAGAGACGCGGTTGGGTCTGTTGAGCATAATTTCAATTATGAAGTTTAGCTAATGCCTTTGTGTCCCTTTTAGTACTCTTCTCCTTCCTCCTCTCCCTCACCCTCAATGGAGTCGACTCCAACCTCCTCATAATCCTTCTCCAGAGCTGCCATGTCCTCTCTGGCCTCAGAGAACTCTCCCCCTCCATACCCTCACCCACATACCAGTGAACAAAGACGCTTAGCGTACATCAGATCAATACTTGTGGTCAAGCCGAGCCCAAGCACTCTGCATTATAGCAGTGGGTGTTGCTCAGCATGCACACAGCCCTCTTGGATCCTTGGTCCAGATCTCCCCAGGGACACAGTGGGTGGCTGGTAGTTGATGCCAACTTTGAAACCAGTTAGGGACACCCAGTCACATGAACTGGATTGGAGCGCTTGGTTTGTATGGTGCAATGGCAGCATTACATCTTTTTGGGCACCCACATCACCAGATTACAAAAAGGCAGCCAAGGCCATGTACTTGCCTTGTGGCGAGGGTCGCATTTCACCATCTGAGTTTGGGCAGGCTCGAAGGAAGCATTGGTGATTTTCAGCCACTGAAGCTGATCGTGGTAAGCCTTCTCAGCTGAGAATAACAGGGGCATTACGGTGGCAAGAGGTGAAGTGGAATACGGGATATGGCCACCAAGTTTGTCTGGAACTCTGGTCAATTCAATTGAGGGCACATCGAAGCGAAGGGAAGCAGTGATGGAGGACACAATGACATGATCCAACCTGTTCAAGTTTGGGTTTAAGTGGGGCGCCTTGCAATATCGAGGTTCCTACGGCAGAATATCGTAGATGGCTCTCGATTTGTCCACCGATGAAGGGCACAGTCAGAGTGCTCCAGGGTGGTGTGGGTGGTCAGGATGGAGTATGTAGGGCTCCACCACAGGGTGGACACCTGAGGAGCTTGGGTAGATGGAGATACTCCAGCATTGGACTTCTTGCCGTAGTTCAACAAGGACAGACGCCTCTCACAGGGAGGTGAAACACCATGATGCCGTGCCATCACTCGTAAGCTGTGGAAAAACCAGGAGCCTGCGCTCGTGCACTGGTCGGCCTGAGG